CCAATCCAAGGAAACTACGAATTTCCTTGACGTTCTTTGGCCTCTCCCATTCGGTGATGGCTTCTATCTTCTTGTTGTCGACAGCAATTCCCGATCCCGAAACCACGTGCCCGAGAAAGCCAATCTCCTTAAGCCAAAATTCACATTTAGAAAATTTGGCATAGAGTTGCTTCTCCCGTAGTGTCTCAAGAACGAGTATCAAGTGCTCCTCATGCTCTTCCTCACTCTTTGAGTAGATCAAGATGTCATCAATGAACACAATCACGAATCGGTCCAAGTATTTGTGAAATACTCGGTTCATCAAGTCCATGAATGCCGCCGGGGCGTTTGTTAACCCAAACGACATAACAAGGAACTCAAAATGCCCATACCTCGTGCGGAAAGCACTCTTCGGTATGTCATCCTCCTTAATCTTCAGTTGATGGTACCCCGACCTCAAGTCAATCTTTGAAAACACGGTTGCTCCTCGTAGTTGATCAAACAAGTCATCAATCCTAGGCAAGGGATACCTATTCTTGATTGTGACCTTGTTCAGTTGACGATAGTCAATGCACATTCGAAGTGTTCCATCCTTCTTTTTCACAAAAAGGACCGGTGCTCCCCATGGGGAGTGGCTTGGTCTGATGAAACCGTTATCCAAAAGCTCTTGCAATTGGGTTTTTAACTCGTTAAGTTCAGCGGGTGCCATACGGTATGGCGGTATGGAGATTGGTTTGGTGCCGGGCTCGACCTCGATCACGAACTCAATCTCCCTATCGGGTGGAAGTCCCGGTAAGTCTTTAGGAAAGACGTCCGGATACTTGCATACTACCCTAACTTCATCAATGCTCGTCTCTTCTTTGGTTTTGTCCACCACATATGCTAGATATGCATGACACCCCTTCCTCATCATATTCTTAGCCCTCACAGCGGATATGATACAACTATTGGATTTTGCCCTATCCCCCTCGAAGCGTAAGGTTACCCCTTCATTGCCTTCGAGTTCAAGTACTTTCGTGTAACAATCGACCCTAGCATGATGCTTCTCAAGCCAATCCATACCCAGGATTGCATCGAACTCAATCATACTCAGCGGCACGAAATCACACGACAAGTTTTGGCCCTCCACTTCCACCTCACACGATGGATAGTGGCTATCTCTCTCGATGTCTTCCCCTAGGGGTGTGGATACCAATAGGGCTTGAGCCATCGGTATCAGGGGTACGTTGAATCCCCCGGCGAATGCCTCACTCACAAATGATCGTTGCGCCCCAGTATCGATGAGGATTCTCGCACATCTCCCATTAATCTTTAATGTTCCTACATCCATACACCATGTAAGATACATTTTCTAATGTTTTTACACATCATTAAGATGTTATTATGTTCATACTAATGTTTGGGATCAAACGGGGGTCCAAACGTAGAAGAACGGGGCGAAAAAATAAAGTTTCAGGTGCCAGGGGTCCACGCACGGCGTGCGTAGGGGGTACGCACGGTCGTGCGTACCTTGTTTTACCAATGGAGGCTACTGCCCCCAACGCACGGAGGGACGCACGGGCAACGCACGGCCGGGCGTGCAGCGAATTTCCTCCGGGGTGCTACTGCCACCAACGCACGGAGGTACGCACGGACAACGCACGGCCGGGCGTGCAGCGAATTTCCTCCGGGGTGCTACTGCCACCAACGCACGGAGGTACGCACGGGCAACGCACGGCCGTGCGTGCAGCCCAGCCTGTAGTGCGTTGGCAGAAATCAGCCCGATTTCGCCCAATTTCGCCCAATTTCGCTCCGTTTGGTCCCGGGGTGGCCCGAACTCAACCCCCAACGGTGTATATGATCAAACTAAGCCTAGAAATACATGGGAATACGTGTATTACCTGCAACGGAGTCCGGGTTTGCTCGCGCATCCGCCTCGGTCATCGCGTAGACTCTCGCTTGAGCCCTTCCTTGGTTCACGGAGGGTGCGTTGCTTGTACTTGCCCCGCCGTGGTTTGTGCCTGCATTGGGTGCCCCACCCCGGTTTCTACTCACCATGGTTGCACTGCTTGGCCCTGATGACCGGTTCCCACCAAGTTGAGGGCAATTGGGCTTTATGTGCCCCGTATCTCCGCATTGGTAGCACCGTGGGGGATCACGACATTTGCCCTCGTGATTTCTCTTGCAATTCCTGCACTTAGGCTTCGTCGGGGCTTGTGATCCCGAGTTCTGCCCACTCATGTTGGGGTTCCCCCTTGATGGTGGTGCGGGTGCCCTGAAGGATCCTCCTCCCCCGTGATTCCCCTTCTTGTTTGAACCCTGGGGGCCATGGTTCTCCCATTTTCTTTTCTTTGCCTCCTCGGCATTTCTTCGCTTCCTTTCCTCCCATTCCTTCTCCCCCTTCAAGCCTTGTTCGACCACTTGGCTAAACGTCATATTAGGCAATTGTGTTGCCCTCTCACGTATATCAAGGTCCAAGGCGTTCCAGAAGTGGTTCACCATCCGGTTCTCATCACAAATGTACTCCGGTATGAACTCAGCAAGTTTTCTGAACTTGTGCTCAAGCTCCTTCACTGTGCACTCACCTCCTTGGGTTAAGGTTGTGTACTCCCTCCTCTTTAAATTCACTTCAAAGTCGGAGTAGTATTGGCTAAAGAATTCTTGTCGGAAATTCTCCCAGGTGACGGCCTCGCCGTACTTCCCTTTAGCTCCGTCCCACCATGTGGACGCCATGCCTTCTAGTAGTCTTGTGGCCACTCTCAACTTCATGTTCGGTGGCAGCTGCATATCCAGGGCCGCTTCATTGAATCTCTTGATCCACTCGGCCGCCACGGAGATGTCTCCCGTTCCATCAAACGGTTTACATCCCAAGTCTCTCGCCTCCTTTAGGTACTTCGAGATTCTTATGATAGGAACCTCGGCACCTCGCCCTCCTTGGGGTTCTATGCTTCCCCTAGGACTCACACGGCTCCCTCTCCTCGAAGCCCCCCTCGAAGCACGCCTTGCCCGGCGCCTTTGGCGATCTTGATGATATTGCCGGAGCAATTCCTCAATCCTTTCTAGAGCGTCGTTATCGTCGCTCCCCTCGCTAATGTCATCATCTTCCCCATCATATGGGGTTTCAACCGGCTCCGTTCCCGGTCGGTACGTTGAATCCTCCTCGGACTCATAATGCTCGTCAATTGTTTCAACATGACCGTCACTAACGGTCAGCGAGTGGCCTGCACGGCCCTGCCCCCGAGACACCCTTGATGCCCCTCGACTGCCATGTTGGGACCTTCCCGGCGCCTGGCCAGTCGGGTTTCGTCGGGTGACTTTACCGGTGCGTTCCATTTCTGAAAGAGATAGAGAAGGAGTCATTAGACCCGTATCAAATGTCAAGTGACGGATAGGCACTTAAAGACATCTTTTGGCTCAAATCACCGTCATACCAATTGTTAAGGGTACCATCTTAACAATTAGAGACTTTGCAACTCAAGTACCAAAAGTTCTATAAGTGCAAAACTTTTATGCTCATGGTTTTCAAAATCATTTTCAAAAGGGATTTTGAAGCTTCATTATGAAGTTTACGAACCTGGCTCTGATACCAATTAAATTGTCACGCCCCGGACCTTCCCGGACACTTCAACAACCCGCCGTACAGTACGAATAGTCAACCGCAGTCCAACTCATCCATACTATACAAGGCGTCTTGAATACCATTCACATTAGTACATCCATAAACAATCACAATGTAAATCATTTAATTAAGCAGCGGAAATATTAATACAAGCATTCGAGCCACACGTGGCAAACACGGGCGTGCAAGCCCTAAATAATTATTCGGAAAATAGTATCCATGAGCATTAATTTGAATGTTTTAAAACAGAAACGGAGGAAGCACGAACCACGTCTCCTCTCCTTGATAATCCGCCCGAAGCAACGGTGATGGTAGCACCCTTCAAGTTCTACCTGAAACTGTGAGGTGGCCTCCCCCGTGAAGGGGAGGTCAGTACTTGGAAGCATTTGACAAGTACAATGACAACTATACTAAGTATAATCAAAGTTTCAATTTCCAAGACCCTCAATCTAGGATGTTATTATATTATAGGTCATAACCCGTGGTTATCCTCTTTTGAAAGTATACTTACTTTATATATATAGTCAAGTAATCGCCCGAAGGCCCATGTTTACTTTGGAAACATTTAACCCTTTCCCCGTGACTTCAAGCCACACCCATCTATATTAGTTTACCATGCTAGAGGCTTCCTCTAGTCATGTTTTGTCGTGCTAGAGGCTGACTCTAGTCACTCCACTTGGTGTTAGAGGCTTCCTCTAATCACCTTACATACGTTGTGCTGGAGGCTTCCTCCAGTCACATTACGTTACGCTAGAGGCTTCCTCTAGTCGTCCTACACGAATGCTGGAGGCTTCCTCCAGTCATTCTTCATCGTGCTCGAGGCTTCCTCTAGTCACGATACTAATTCACTAAGCAATCTCTATGCCTAGAGTTCCTCTACTATGAGTAACCTTCATGATCCACTCCTACGGTAACTTAGCGTTTACTCATTTCTACCTTAAGACATTTCATATGACTACTTAAGGTACATCATTCACAATCCAAACCCCTAGGATTTGTTCTATCACTTTTCATGCTAACATCCCCGGCTAGTATTTCTATACTAGTCATTTAACCTTAATAAGCCAATGCAATTTCATAGTAATTTGGCTATTTCAATTTAATTCCACATTCAAGTATAACTTGGTTCTAATATCAAAATATCACTTTTATCCTTCCATGACTTCCTTACATGAGGTAAAAGTATATTTATCACAATTCATTTATAGTTTGCACGCTATTATACCATTTTATTCATAATACATAATCATACACAATTTATTCATAAATTTGTATATTATGCACTTTTACTTATAAACAATAATAATCTCATTTAGGCATTTTGTTATATTATAAATAAATCATGCCAAACACATATAATTCATTTAGGTAATCTTATGAAATTAACCCAATAATTATAAGCAATATAGTCGGTCATCCTCACCTTAAGTGAGCTTAAGCGTGTTCTACGCTCCGCGGTTGAACTTTGACTATTTCCGGTGAACTTTGACCAACTCCGGCCAACTTTGACCAACTCCGGCGAAACTCCGGCGAAGCTCAAAGATACTTTAATCAAGTTCCTAACAAGGTTTTAACATCATAAAACCTTAATCAATACAAATAACCCCAAAAGGTTATTTTCCGGTGAACCGGTCGTTTTGACTTCTAAATCCGTTTTTGGACTTAGAACCACTTTCCAACCCATCATTCTACACTCTTTTCATGTAGAACAATCCCAAGGATCCTCCATATGATATATATCTCATAAGATTGAAGGGAAACATATAGAAAAAGTTATGATAAGGTTATTACCTTAACCTTCACACTTTTAGCACTTAAATTCCTTTTCTTGGGATCTTTCCTTGTTGAGCTTTCTTCAACAATGGAGATTGAGGACTTCTTTGCTCTAGCTTGGAGGGTGCAGGCCGCAGGAAAATGAGGGGGAGTGGGTGAAGGTTGGTTTTTGTCTCTTTGATACAATGAGTAAGGATGGGGGGTCCAATTAATGTACCTTTGATGCTTTCTTAATCAATCCCAACACCTCCCACCTCCTCCTTTCCCTCCCAGCCACCCACCTCTTGTCCTTTGTATGGAAAAATTCGTGGGTTGGCCCCCACACATGTGGGAGGTCAACCCCTTTTGTTCCGAAGTGTACAATTGGTCCCGAAAGTTGTATTTTTCGGACTGTTTTAAATATATTTTATTTTATCGGGTCAAATAAAATATATTATGTGTTCTCAATCATTATGACTCTCATAGTGAATATACATTCCCCAACTTTAATTTATAGGTCTCCGAAATTCAATTTCGGGCTATTATCCGTTAAATTGCCAATACCGGTATTTGGGCCTCTTTTGACCAATCGGTCAACTCAAGACCTTTCCATGGTTCAAAAGAATTATCCACCACCATATAAATATTATCTAGACCAAGATGAATAATTTATGTGGTCCCGGGAATATCGGGCGGCCCCCGCTCCCGGTGCGGGCCCCACGCGCGAACTTATTATTCAGGCAAAATTAATAAAAATTCATAACCTCGTAAATTCGTCAACCATTCCATAAGGTTAAAATACAATATTCACTTAAAAGTAAATACACTTGGGGACGGTGTTACAAAATAAATGCTTCTATTTATACCCGCCAATGGGCAGGTGGCCATGCTGACGTGGAGGCCTGTGGACCGCTTGTGTCCCAACCACCAAATCTTCAGCATTAAATGCACTTCCCGCCAGAATCTAGGTTTCCCGCCTAAATAATGGGGACGTTCGTCCGCCTGGGAAGTGAGCTGGATCACTCCAAGTGACCCTCAAGAGGTTTCGGCTGTTCGTCTCCTGGCCTTGTGGATTCTCTCCATGTGGACTGGATTTCCTCGGCACTATAGGCTTGCTATGGGGACGTTCGTCGTCATCCCCTGGTAGCCCGTGGTCCTGCTCCTTGTCCCTGCATAGACGTTCGTCGGGATGGGCCGCTGGGCCTGGGCCCCCAACCCCAGACGTTCGTCCCTCCCCAAGGAATATGGGCCTGCGGGCTGGCCTTGTGGTCTGACTGGACGTACGTCTGGTGAAGGAAGGGTTAGTGGGCCGGACCTCGGCTTGGGCCCTTAACCCAACATTAATTTTTAATTATTATTCAGAGATAAATTTTATGTAGATTCAATTGGTAACAACTTCCCACAAATAGAAATATATATTAGCAAATTAGGTTACGGCGGGGCGGATGGGGCGGGTCACGGGTCAACAAGTTTGGACCCGTGCAGGTCACGGGGCGGGGCGGACCCGCCCCGCCAAGTCATGGGCGGGTCTGGGTCTTGCAGTACCCGCCCGCCCCGACCCATTGCCATGCCTATTATAGCTACCCAACCCAACCAGTTACAATTACCTAACCCAACCATGCCAGAGCTGGCCAAAGATGTTGACGAACTGGAGAACTACGGTTGCAGAGGCAATGACAAGAAATGGATGGAACGACGAAGAGAAATGAGAACTACGGTTGCAGCGGCGATGACAAGAAACTATTGAGACGAAGATGTCACCGGACGAGAAATCTCGTTCGTGTTGCACGACCGGAAAGAAAAAGAAGAAGAGAATCGGCGTGAGTAGGGCGATGGTGAGACAGAAGAAGAAGAAGAAGAAGAAGAAGAAGAAGAAGAAGATGGTGGTGACGATGCTCAGGTCGGCAGCGGCACTTCACATTGCATATGAGAATGATGCTTAGCCAGACGATGATGGCGTTGGCGAGGTAGACGAGTTGCAGAGCGACGCAGAGAACCTTTCGCAAAGAGACGGAACAATGATGTTAAAGTATTTGTCTCACACCGAAAAGCTATAAAACAATAAAATGTTATATAAGGCTTTGAGCCACTCCTCCTATCAGGTTGACCTTTTAGGATGGAAGTCCGGGACTTAACATGGTATCAGAGCCAACTTCGGTCATGGTCTGACTGCTTGTTTAGTACCCACGATTATATGTAGCTTGTTATTTGTTAAGGGTCTATTTGGCCCATTTATACACCCCGATATTGTCCAGTCCAGTTCGGGCTGAGGGGGTGTGATAAAATATTTGTCCTGCACCGGAAAACTATAAAACAATAAAATACTATATAAGGCTTTGAGCTACTCCCCTATCAGGTTGACTTTTTAGGATGGAAGACAGAGTAAGTATTAACAAATGGGGATCGATTGCAGACTTATGCTATGTTTTAGGGGCAATTTGGGTTTTGAGATTGATTTTGTCTCTTTTTTGTCCATACGAAATTGTGGTCTTATTTTTGTCAAATGTAAAGTCTATATTACTCGTATTATTTTGGCTAAAGGGTCAAATAGGTACATGAACTAACTTAAAGTGTTCAATTAACCCCTTATAAAGGAGTTTCTGCCCGGACGTCGCCAATTGGGGCGGTTCCCGGTGGAATTTTTTGATGAAATTTTTTGAGCATCTTCTTCATTAAGTCTAGTTTACCCATACCAAATTTCAGCTAAAAACTCAACCGGGAAGGCAGTCGAATGATTTTCCGAAATGTACTGCGCTGTTTAATTTTTCAAAAAATCATTCGACTGCCTTCCCGGTTGAATTTTTAGCTGAAATTTGGTCTGGGTACACTAGACTTAATGAAGAAGATGCTCAAAAAAATTCATCAAAAAATTCCACCGGGAATCGCCCCAATTGGCGACGTCCGGGCAGAAACTCCTATATAAGGGGCTAATTGAACACTTTAAGTTAGTTCATGTACCTATTTGACCCTTTAGCCTATTATTTTTGGCATTATTTCAAAACTTAAACAAAAGTGGTGTGTTGCATGTAATTTGTTGCACGCACCCCATCACGTGGGGGGAGGGGTCGGAGCCAGTAACTCACAAAATCTCAAGCTGTTCCCAAGCAGTAACCTTATTAAAGTCCAAACCGCACACTTGTAGCCGGAACAGTAATTTATTTATGGAGCTATCTTCTTGTACCCACTATTCTACCCATTATTGTACCCACCATGCATGTCTTCATAGACATATTTTTGTCTATGACCGAAATTCACAGACAAAAAACTTCTCACAGACATGGTAGGTAAAGAAGTGGGTACAATAGTGGGTACAAATCTCATTATTGTACCCACCATGTCTTCATAGACATATTTTTGTCTATGACCAAAATTCACGGACAAAAAAAACTTCTCACCGACATGGTAGGTATAGAAGTGAGTACAATAGTGGGTACAAATAGTTTTTTTTGTTTATTTATCCTACGGAAAATTATAAGAAAACAAAACCAAACAACACTTTGTTCTGTCCTATAAATTAAAGAGACTCTTATGTCTCTCTCTTCCTCACCCCCTGGCCTCCATCTCTAGTCTCCATCCTCCATCTGCTAATTCCTTCCTTCCTAGCTTCCCTCGGAATATCTTGCCGGAATGTCGGTGGAGGCATTTCCCGACGCGTTTTCCGGCGACCGGGAGGATGGGGTTGAGCAATTGAGCATAATGTGGGGGCAAGTGAAAGCGCCGCTCATAGTCCCGATGCTTAGAGTAGCTGTTTTTGTGTGCCTGTTAATGTCGGTGATGCTGTTCATCGAGAGAGTATACATAGGGGTTGTGATAGCTCTGGTGAAAGTGTTTGGGAGAAAACCAGAAAAACGGTACAAATGTGAGCCGTTGAAAGATGATGACGTGGAGCTGGGGGATTCAGCTTATCCCACGGTTCTTGTTCAAATCCCCATGTACAATGAGAAAGAGGTCTGATTCCCCTCTATATTTTATGAGAAATGCTCTTTCTACACGTCATTTTACACGTTAATTAAATTATCTGATAATTTTTTCATTTTGTGAAAAAGAAATGATTTTTCGCACTGATGAGAAAAATTATATGTGTCACATAAAAAAAATCGAACAATGATTCTCGTCACAAAATTAAACGCAAAAAAAAGTCTATGCAAAGGCAATTTGATCAGCGTGTACAACTACAACATACATGAAACATGGTTGGTATATATTTTATTCAATCATGGTTCGTGTTATCGTGTACATGTTTTTTGTACATATCAATTTTACGTGCCTACATTTTTTTGGTTTTGTGAATGGAATTATTTTTTGCACCGATAGTTTTTGTGTCTGTGACAAGGACAAAAAACAATTATCTTGACAAAATGAAAAGAAAATTGTTTGTGTGCAGACAATTGGACCGGCATGTCAAATAACTTGTACAAAATCATTTTCCTATTTTATTCCGTGCGAAATTTGTTTTGTACACTTCATTTTTACACGTTTGATATAAGTTTATCTAAAAATGCAAACATTTTAATTATGTTAATTATGCCAACATTTTATATGTAGTATGAGATGGTGGACTTGCCATGTTCACTCATGTTTAGAATCTCATTTCCCAAATGAAGAAAGAGTGAAATACTTGATTGCAAATAAGAGTCGGCTTTTTCAAAACAATGTTTGTTCAGATTTTGCTTTGACTTAAAGAACAGCTATAAGATTTTCTCGATCTCCATTTCTCTAAAAAAAAAGGCAATTCAATCAAAGCAGACATGTTTTGATTTAAGTAGGTTGAATTGAATATAAAATCAATTTTATGACTATATACAATTTATATCGGAATGTTGCTCATGTGACTATATATAGTGAACTTACATACTCGCAGGGACGCAGCCATGACATTGGGTTAGACTGGGCCGGTACAAAGAATATTATTGGGAAAAAATTTACACGAAATTTTTTACACTAAAAATATTGACATTTTTCAAATTTGGGGTGGGCCAGGGCCTAGCCTGGGCACCCCTAGCTCCGCCCCTGCATACTCGTATTGGGTTCTAAAATTCATCCAAAACAACATTGAGCTCTATATGCTAGATTTTCGATTAATTATGTGCTTTTGGGGCTTATCCGTCATTTATTTTTGTATTTCGGTTTAATTTTGACTATCTTAAACTTTGTAATTTTTTAGTATTTGATGTAATCAAATAACTAATATATTCTAATAATGATAATTATAACGGGACAAGAACGTGTACCAAAAGTATCACCTTCACCTTAATCACAATACATGATAGTATAAAACAAAATACTTATAAAAGTGAAAAATGTTGAGTGTACACGTTTTTTGTGTTCACCTTTGGTACACTTATCTATTTTATACGGAGTGTCTGTACACAAACAAATTTGTGGGGCCCTATAGAGTAAGCATGGACCGGTTCCGGGCTTCGGGCCGGTCCAAATTGGCCTTTTATTTTTTTGGGGAGGGCCCGGTTGCAACCGGGTCCGGGCCGGTCTCGGGCCAGTTCTTTTTTTTTTTGCTTTTCTAATTAACACCCGACCCCCCCCCCCCACCCCACCCCCAAACCCCCCCAAAACACCTAACCCAACCCGGGAAAAACAAAAGAAATTGAAAAAAAATAGGCCCAAACTGGGCTCAACCCGGCCGGTTCCAAAGGAAAGCCGGCCTGAACCAGTCCATGCCTACTACAAAATTGTCTATATACAGACAAATTTATCTGCATAAGACAGGTGTACGAAAATGTACACTAAAAAGTGTACACCACGGCGGGTTAATACAGTGTAAATGTAAGTCAAAGAAAGATTAATATATGGTGGCATGGGTGCAGGTGTATCAGCTGTCAATAGGAGCTGCATGTGGGCTTTCATGGCCGTCAGATCGTATCATAGTCCAAGTTCTTGATGACTCCACCGACCCTTTCATCAAGGTAGGTTGTCCTAAATGTGGTGGCTACAAATTAATTAATTAAAGTTTTTTATATGTTGAATTGATGGTGGGATTCCAATGATTGATACCAGCGACCTAACGCCTGAATTGCCCAAATTGTGCTTTCCTCCAATAATAACGTCTTACCTCTTTGTTTTTTGTAATCTCAACTTAAAAATAGTTAAAAAGCAGTTGAATAAAATAATGCATTTTGTCCGGCCTAATAATAACATTGCTAAATTGGGTAAGCCATGTTTTTTTCTTTCTACTTTTCATGGTACAAGCTTGTACGTAATACTTCTTCCGTTCTTAAATAATCTTAAATAAATGTAACGGTCAACATTTCACACTTGTCGAGACACAACTTTGACCATTAATATAAATGATTTTGTATTAGTAAAAAATTTAAAAAATTAAATTATGAAAATTTAACAATATTTTTTTTTCATAAAATAATATTATTACATTAATAAATAAAACGTAGTCAAAGTAAAACATGTGAATAACGTAAAAGTGTTGCATTTATTTAAGAACGGATGTAGTATTCGAAACTTAAGGGCAGTTTGTATTTGTAGATTCGGGAGTAGGAATGTAAAAAAAGAGTCTCTTAATTAGAGACCCGCCCTGCCCCTAGACATTTGGGATAGTCTGACTTGCCCTATCTTGCAAATGGAGCAAGTACACGACCACCCCATGCATACAATGGGGCATATTCGAGTAGGGGTGGGCAAAAATACCGAACCGGCATGGTGCCGAACCGAATCGGTATGATACCGGACCGTAAAACAGGTTTTGAAACGGATCTCAAATTTTTTGTCCCGAACCGGACCGTACCGGTTCTAAACAATGTCATGACCGGTTCTCATAAAATAAGAACCAGTACCGGACCGGACTGAAGTATGGTTTAATTATTTAATTTATATTTATACCATTAATTTGACTAGTGCCTTCACACTTTCACCACCTTTGCTTGTTCATAGGAAGCCTAGAATCATATCAATGTATGGTTTAATTATTTCAATTTGTACTATAGTTTATCTGAAATTTATTAATTATGTAATACTACCTCTGCCCCAAATTTATTTGCAAAATTAACTTTTCTTGGTCAAACAGTTTCATTATATTCACTTAATTAGAATGTCAATTTTTAATTATACTTAATTTGGAACTTGCAACTTTGAAGAGATTTTAATGTAGTTTCTGAATATGAAAGTTTTAATTGTTAAAAATTGAATTAATTATCAATAAAGAGAATTTAATTTTAACATTGGTTGGTCAAAAAATAATGACTTTGCATGTCAAAAGAGTATGAAAACTGATAAAATTGTGTAGATTTTCGGAGAATGGCTATACCGTTTGAAAATGGAACCGTACCGAATGGGTTTAGGTCTAAGACCGAACCGAACCGGACCGTTTCAATAGTCACAGTACGGGTACGGGTTCGGCCAAATATTGGACCAGACTGGACCGCGCCCACCCCTAGATTCGAGTAAATGGGGTAATGGTAATGACCCGGCCGTCGGGGGATATGTGTGAGTAACAATTCATGAATAAAAAATAATGTAACTTAAAAGTATCTTTTTATATTCAAAATATTCTTTATTTGAATTTGTGATTCACATCATTTTTTACATGTTACTCCGTATTACATATTTATCTCTCCTTTACTCAACTCTCCACACTCAATATTCACTATCCTAATGTCTGTGTTATTCGTACTTTAGGAGATAAATATGACAGGCTATTACCTATTTGTTACGGAGTATTTAATAGTAACTTCCTTTTAAATAGTTACTCCGTATATCTTTAGTTTTTTTATAATTATCTTTGGCAAGCTTGTTTTATCGAGTTTTGTTCTAGTTTTAATAGACTAATAGTAACTTCATTTTAATCTAAATAGTTGCATATTTAGTTATTTATAATTATCTTTGGCAAACTTGTTTTATAGAGTTTTGTTCTAGTTTAAAAAATCCAAAGTTTTGTTGTTGTTCTGATGTCAAATATAACGTACATAAGCAAAATATAAAGTAATCTTACTTTTGACTAATCGTAGCACGAGACCACGAGTAAAATGCATACAATAAGAGCAAGGGAGTATTTAGATCATATCACTTTTGGGGCATTTGTTTCAAGTCATTGGCAAGGCAAAATTATGGCAAATACTTGAAGATAGTATAAAGTACGAATTGAAGTGCGTGCTAATAACTTGCTCCGTATATTCTTATTCGTTCACAAGATTAACCTTTTATGATTTTACTCCCTCCTTATCACTTTATTTGTCTTACTTTTCTTTTTAGAACATATCAAATAATTTCTTACTTTTCTTTTTGGAAAGAAATTCACCATAAAAATAGTTACATTACCGCTACAGTACCAACAATCTAAACTTTTTTAAAATGTACAGTAATTATCTTAAATTACGTGCAAAAGCAAATGGGGTAGATAATGTGATACGGAGAGAGTATATGATATCTGACCTCATAAAGTAAAAGAAACAATGAGTAATAAGTACATAAAAATAATAGATACTCCGTTTAATACTTACTTTAGTTTAGCATGTGTTCATATAATTTAATGCACATATATATATTTGTCTTATGTTACTTGGAGATGCTCTTAATATTTGTTGAAGATTCTCTTAATATTCCATATATTTATATTTGATGATTATTATTTGGAGCAGAATATGGTGGAAAAGGAGTGTCAAAGATGGGCAGGCAAAGGGGTAAACATAAAGTATGAGATTAGAGACAACAGAAATGGGTATAAGGCAGGGGCATTAAAGGAAGGGTTGAAGCATCCTTATGTGAAGCAATGTGATTACGTAGCCATCTTTGATGCTGATTTTCGACCCGAGCCTGATTTCCTCTGGCAAACCATTCCTTACCTCGTCCATAATCCCCGTCTTGCCCTCGTCCAAGCTCGCTGGAAATTCGGTAATTATTACTCCGTAATTTATATTTGGGAAAACTGTCAAATAGGTCCTCGAACTTTCATAAAAAGGTCAATTAAGTTCTTCTATAGGAGGTTCTGTCTGGTCATCGCGATTTGGGACAGTTCCCGATGGAATTTTGTGATGAAATTTTTTGAACATCTTATTCATCAAGTCTAGTTTACTCATACCAAATTTCAGCTAAAAATTCAATCGGAAACACATTAAAATTAATTCTTGAAGATAACTGCGCATTTTTGCATTCTCGAATTAATTTGAATGCGCTCCCGATTAAATATTTAGCTGAATTTTGGTATGAGTTAACTAAACTTGATGAATAAGATGCTCAAAAAATTTCATCAAAAAATTCCACCGGGAACCGCCTCAAATCGCGACGACCGGACAGAGTCTCCTATAGAAGGACTTAATTGACTTTTTATGAAAGTTCGGGGACCTATTTGACAGTTTTCCCTTTATATTTTTATGCTTTCTTCTATGAGCCTATCTTTCGATCTCTTCTCTTTTTAATATACACAAACGTATCTGATCCATCCTTTCTTTACAGAACAAGAAAGATTGACGATTCCAAAAAAAAAAGATCATAAAAAGAAAACCATTCTCAATTGCATCTAATTATCTAAACCGCTTTTCAAAATCCAACTTTAATCTTACATGTACATACTAATACTATTGATACATTGATTGTATACCATCCAACTGATCCAAGATAACAATAAATTATAGTTTGATCGATGGGGCATTCTTCGTGTAAATCCAACGTTTATTTTACACGCCACCGATTGTTCCATACATTTTCTAAAAAATGTTTTTTTATGAATTGTGTATGTACACAAACAATTAGGACAAATGTGTATAAAAACGTATATAAACAAAATTTCCTCAATCAGTAGTATACTGATGTGACACAAAAATTATTTTCCCGAAAACTGTAATGCCAAAGAGGCGGATCCACGGGTCAAGGTGGTTAGCCGACTCCCTGAAAGTTTGAAAGTATAGAGCTCTGAGATACCTTCAATTTAATATATTATGACTTTCATAATTCATTACGAGTAAAACATTATGGCTTCTGGAAACTCGGCACTATCTAAAAGTAAATAAGTAATATTTGATACATAATATTGATTATATTCCCTCTTTTTTTAAATACTGTATAATTCACTCATTACTTACGTGACACGGCTCAAAGACAGAGCAAAGACAGTCTATCTTATTGAAACGAGTGTCTGCTCAATAGCCAATTCTTTTCGTGTAAGAAATCCTGATATTAAGCCGTTTGAGAGAAGAACTATAGAGTTTCAGGCTAACGCAAATGGTCTTATTTGAGGCAGCTACCGGTATGAGAATCTTCCGACTAAATCCATATAAAACAAGCTTAAAATATATGCGACTTGTATATCAAATCTATAACCAAGTCTCATTTAAACTTTCATTTATCTAAACTATGAGTCCTCTCTAAACTATATATGAAACATTGAGTTCGGGTATCGTCTAAACTATACTACCTCCGTCCCAGGGAGAAGTTCCCAATTTCCTTTTTTGGCAGTCCCAACAAAAAGTTCTCATTTCCTTAAATGGAAAGTTATCCTACATAAAAACAGTGCCAAACAGTGTCGAAACAGTGTCAAACAGTGTCAAAACAGTGCCAAACAGTGTCGAAACAGTGCCAAACAGTAAAATTTATCCCTCAGTAACTTTATTTCCTTAATATGTGTGAAAGTCAACCGGGAACTTCTCCCTGGGACGGAAGGAGTATATATGAAACATTCACTTCGGGTATCGTCCAAAAACTATCATGTTATCATAGTGAATCGTCCAAAATCTATCATGTTATCATAGTGAAGAAGCGAGTTGGAGCTGTCGGTGAGAATGTCGTTTTCCTCTTATTTAATTAATTAATTAATATGTCAATTAGTGCGCAAGAAAGTCATGAATTGATCATTGCTGATATGAAAAGTTTGCATATAAAAAGCTAGCTAGGCTGTCAATTATTCTTAATAGAATATGCGTGGTCTCATTAAAGGTGAAAGCAATGCACAAACATTATTGGAGGATATCTCTATATCGTACACCATGAACAAGCAAGTACATCCCATCTAGGTAGACTCGGGCCGGTTCTCAATCCGGAGTTCCGGACCAACTGGTCTGAGCTAAGTTAAGGTTGAAATTGAAACTTTAACCGAGTATCAATGAGGTTCGGTTCTGACTCTGATTCAATTTCGTTACTATTTTGGAGGAATTACGAAGTGTGCGCCGGTTAGAACTTTAGGCTTCACCCGATTCGACCAATCGACCCAATCCGAAACTAGGCCTAGCATTTACATATTAAGGCTCATAAGCATTTTAAAAGCGATATAAAATTTAGGTAGTGTTTGTAAGCGATATAAAATTTTAATTCAACTTTTGAATTAAAATTAAAAAGTTGAAATGAGTGTTTTTAAGTGATAATTTAGGCTTAAATTAAACATTTAAAATCTAAAAGCTAGAAGCATGTGGAGAGATATTTTAAACCGTTTTTCACTTTTTCTATTACACACAAAACACTTATTTTACCTAACAATATCAACTTTTACTTTTTCAAAAAAAAAATCTCAAACACTACTAAATTGTATTATTAATCACTTTTTCCTAATTCATTTTAAAAATCATTTTTTTAAGTATAAGCAATTGTAAACACTCCCTTGAAAGTTTAAAAAAGGTAAACGAGATGGGAGGGCATTAATTAAATAATTTAAAATCGGGACCGATAAAGATCCGAAGTAGACCGAGACCTGCAAGGAGAGTGTAGGACGCAAAATCAATACATCTCGTGCAGATCATTCAAGGGGGCAACTTCCGGGACCGGCGAGTCCGGACCAGAACCGGGATTGGTCCACATATCATATAATATTCCTATATGATAGAATGATACATATACATCTTGCTTGAAGCCTTTAGAGGTAAGCAACACAGAGAATCAGAGTCCACTTTTGTCCTTTAATTTGGTCCAAGGGTGCAAATGTCCAAAAAAAGGATGTAGGTTCATTGACCACGTGCCATTGCCATATGAGTGGTGCATGTCAACGGCGGCCCGGCCTCAACCGACACTAATTCTTGTCTTTCTATTAATTACACACCTAATTACGCTTTTAACACTACAGCTAGCTGAAAGACTGACAAATACTATACAACCTGTTTCTCCCACCCGCATCTATAATGTGGTCTCATCTGTTTATTTATGTTAGATCCCGTATAACATGGCTTGTTCAGATCTACTTTAATCTATTTAACTTTATCATATAATTTCACCAACTTTATGTCTTTATCTTTGTTTTAATTAGGGAATAATTTCTTATTTACTCCCTAAAAAAATCTTGTTTGAGTTTGGCAACGAATTAATACAAAAGTTGAAAGGTAAAAACCGGATATTTGAGTAAGAATGACTAAGGCGTTAAGAAAATAAGTCAAGGACTTGCAAACAAAGAGAAGGGTGAAATTTAATCAAAGGAGAACTAATGATCATACATTAAAACCATATTTTTTTGTACCTTTTTTTTTTTTGAAAGGATGTTTTTGTACCTTTCTTTAACATTTGCATGAGTAAAGTTCTAAAATAGGATCAAATACATTTTTGTACCTTTCCTTAACATTTGCATGAGTAAAGTTCTAAAATAGGATCAAATATATTTTCTCCATGAAACGGGACTTATATATTCCTATTAAAAGCAAAAAAAAAAAAAAGAATATAAATTTGTCTAAATAGAAGTGTACAAGTCCTATTTTGAGAAGAAAATAACGTAACTAGCATGAGAGAAATTTTACAATATTTACTTCTTAGGGAATATTCTCATTCTATAATCATTTCATCAAATTACTTCTTAGGGAATACTTCGTACTCTGTATAAAATAGCTCATTCCATCATTTAGATATGATATACATTGGAGGGTAACATAGAAGGTGGTAAATGTTACTTCCTCCATCCCAAAAAATTCTTCTCATGTTAGTATTGATCGGAGTTTAAGAAAGTGAGAGTAAAATGGAAATGTATGGTTGTGTTTGAGTAAAAAAAGATAAATGAATGTCAGTCACACAATTCTTTCCGAAAAGGAAAATGAGAACGAATTTTTTGGGACGTTCCAAAAAGGTAAGTGAGAAGAATTTTTTGTGAAGTTGTACTTACATTCTTACAAGTGGAGTTCCCAAATAGTATTGTATTTCAGTACTCGAGTATAAATGAATGAATGAATGGGTGGTTGAATTTTGCAGTAAATGCGGATGAATGCTTGATGACAAGAATGCAAGAAATGTCATTAGATTATCATTTCACGGTGGAGCAAGAAGTGGGGTCATCCACCTATGCATTTTTCGGCTTTAATGGTAAAAAAAGCCCTTAAATCATGACTTGTTACTCTTATAATATTGTTATGAATCCGTTTGATAACATAAAAATTGATGAAATTGTAGCTGGAGTGGTTGAATCTGCTGAATTGTGTAAAAATTCTATTTAAAATATATTTTATTACTAAACATAAAAACCACAACAATTGTTGTTGTACACACTTTACTGTTTACACACTTGTACACATTGTCTGCGAAAGCTTTTTTTTGTTTGTCACATACAAAACTTGTGTCTGTGACAAACAAAAAAAACATTCACAAATCATATGTACAAATGTGTAAATAGTAAAAGTGTGTACAAAGCTTTTTGTAAAAACCATTACTCTTCAGTTCATCATTATTTGATACTCATTATGAAAAAACAGGAACGGCTGGTGTGTGGAGACTGGCTGCAATTGAGGAGGCTGGTGGGTGGAAGGACCGGACCACAGTTGAGGACATGGACTTGGCTGTCCGTGCCAGCCTCAAAGGCTGGAAATTCCTGTACCTTGGCTCCCTTAAGGTAAAGAAAAAAAAGGAAAAAACAGAGGAAAGTATATGATTCAAATGAAGATAACGAATAACAATTTAACTTTTTATAGGCAATGATCATAAATGTAATTATAGTGACTCTGCTTATGTTCAATTTTATAATTAGAGACTCTGCTTATGTTCAATTTTACAGTTAAGTGAACATGGCGTTATATTGATACTACATTTAGTCATAGTAAGCATCACATTACAATATGCATAGTACACTCGAATGAACCTTACATTAAGGGTTTAGGGCTGAACACGAGAAATTGAAAAACCGAAACCAACGGAAAATCGAACCCGTGAAAACTGAACCGGCTAAAATTGAAACCGTTAAGATGACCGAACCAACCAAGACATGTCAAAATTGATCGAAACCCCGACCGAAAATAACCAAACCGAAACTTACGAAAGGCTCCATTTTGGGTTTTGCTTTCTCAAAACCGAACCAACCAAACCAAATGGACGAATACCCTACCCTACACTCTCTACCTAATGTGCATTAGGTGCATATAGAATTATAGAGAAATAATGTGTTTAGAATGCTGATTGGCTTCGTTCAAATAACGAACATATATGGATGCAATACAGGTGAAGAATGAACTACCAAGCACATTTAAGGCATATCGCTACCAACAGCACAGATGGTCCTGTGGTCCTGCAAATCTTTTCAGGAAAATGCTGATGGAGATCGTGAGAAACAAGGTCTGCTCATTGCTACCATCTAATAAATCTTTGCCCACTTATGGATAATGAAATTGTTCAAAATAGGAATAATACGCGGATAAGACTTGAAATAGGATTGAGTATGTTTTGTTTCCAAACTATGACTTATTTAGTCCTATTAAAAGAAGAAAAACTCCTCAAAACAGGAGTGAATGAATGAGTCATATTCTGGAAGAAAACAATCATACTCCTAGTTTAGAAAATGTGTTATGTTCTACTCATATTTAGAGAATTTTATGGTATGAAGATATGCAGACTTGTTGCATGTGTTTGCCCACACCCCTGCCTCTTATTGTTCTTGATTTTTTTTTGTCCCATCTGCATGCAGAAAGTAAACTTGTGGAAGAAGGTTCATGTGATCTACAGCTTCTTCTTTGTCAGAAAGATCATAGCCCATATTGTCACTTTTGTTTTCTACTGTCTAGTATTGCCTGCAACTGTTCTTATCCCTGAGGTTCAAGTTCCTACATGGGCATGTGTTTATATTCCCACAATCATCACTCTTCTCAATGCGGTAGGAACTCCAAGGTGAGTTTTGACATTATATGAACTATGGCCCTATGGGTTAATGATAAACAAAATAATAGGGGATTATGTAAGGCACGAATTCATTGAATAGGAAAGAAAATCACAATGTGATTTGAGTAAGTATTTAAGTAATTGATTGATTACTTCTTATATCAAATATTGCATATTGCAGGTCATTGCATTTGCTAGTGTTCTGGATACTTTTCGAGAATGTGATGTCTCTCCACCGGACCAAGGCTACCTTCATCGGGCTGTTGGAAGCGGGCAGAGTGAATGAATGGATCGTAACTGAGAAACTAGGAGATGCTGCGGCTTTCAAGCTAAAACCAGCAGCAACACTAAAATCATCATCATTTAAAAAACATCTGTTAAGGATTGGAGAAAGGTGATTGGAAAATTTTCTCATTCATGAATTCTCACTTGTAACTTTCATTAAATTTGATGATTGTAACTTGCATGTCGAGTATTAATCGTATACACGCATTACTTGAACAGGATCCATGTGCTAGAGCTTGCAACGGGTGCCTATCTCTTCTACTGCGGATGCTACGATGTCGCGTTCGGGAAGAACAATTATTTCCTATACCTCTTCATCCAATCAATAGCCTTCTTCATAGCTGGATTCGGATATGTTGGCACATTTGTCCATAGTTCTTAACACAACATTTGTTGTCACTCCTTGGCTGATAATGCATATGAATCTTTTTGTGCTTGTCTTCAGATCACCAGATCAGAAGGACAGCATCTTTCACCTGGATGTATTTTTTATTCTTTTTTCTTTTCCATACATTCTCAATTCTTTCCTTGTAAAATAGAAGAAAACTGGTTATTTGGATTAGGTTGTAAGTCATAAGAATTCAAGTTGTGGACTGAATGAATAATGGATAGATTATCCTTGTGTATATTTCAACATTCAAAGGCAATGAAGATACAGAAAAGATCTCAAAAGATGCACTGTCACTCTCAGAAAGGAAAACTCAGCACGAGAAAATGGGAAAAACAAAGAAGCAAGGAGTCACTGCTCCAGGACAATACTGTGATAGGGCTAGAGCCCCTTCTTTTAGATTGAAATCCTTGTGATTTTGTTAATTTAAGCCGGATCTAGTCCCTCTAAATTGATATTGTTTGGTTTTAGATTAATACACGTTATGTAAATTTTATTTTTGTGGATATACATAGTATAATTTTAATAATATTGTGAGATATTATTCATACAAGTTTCCCGTCCTTAGCTTAGGTTATCATTAGTTAAAATGCCAAGTGCTAACCAGAACAATAATACATTTAATTAAAAAATAAAATAATAATAATAATAATACATTTAATCATGATAGTCTTGTATAGAAATTTTAAAAAAATAGAAGTTTTCTATATAGTACATGAACATAACACATTTCCTGTATTATTCTATGTCTTCCCCCAAATACAACGCATACCATCCGCAAAAGAAGAAATTTTAAAAGCTTAGATTATTTTAGTAGGATGGACTACGTCCTACTTTAGTAATACTAATACCTTATAATCAGCCTTATTCATAACTATAAACATATAAATATATCACATAATAACATATTAACTCACAATATTATGAAAATTGAAAATAACTGAATATGTACTCCTATTTTGGAATTCCAAAATGTGAAAACATGAAGAGAGCAAAATAAGTGTATAAGGTAAAGTATTAGGAGAGTTGGACTCCAAGTAATCGTCATTCGAATCTTTATCTTTCACAGACCAAAAGAACAAAAACTTCCTTTGTTCATATGAAACATACATGTCACTTACACACTATATATCCAAATAATCAACCCGCACACTTCCACACACTATATGTCACTTATAACAATTCCTTTGTACATAATATATACGGAGTAATATAATTAGGAAAAAATAAATATGATATTCGACTCGATTAAATTCATTTAAAACCTCTACATAGATAGTGACCATCCATGTTGAAGGAGCCAATATATTAGTACCTCTGTGTCACTAATATTGAGACATTAGGATTAGTCATGAACTAGGGTCGGGCCGCCCGGCCCGCTACTGTGCGTACCCGGCCCGGTCATTTGGTTTTGGTGCCGGGCTTCGACCCGACCCAATGGGTTTAGCGGGAGCGGACTCGGGTGTAGGAAATGGTGACCCGGCCCAGCCCGGCCGGTCCCGGGCCCAGTTCGGGTATGTTTTTTATTTTTTATTTTTTATTTTTTATGGCTTTTTCCCGAGTTGGGCTAGGTGTTTTGGGGGGTTTTGGGGGGTGGGGGGTAGGGGGTTAATTACAAAAGAAAAAAAGAAAAAAAAACATAGACCCGGCTCAACCCGGACCCGGTTTCGGGCCTTCACCCCAACCCTCAAAGGCCCGAGCCAGGCCTAGGCCCGACCCGGCTCAACTCCAACACTAATTAGGATGTGATGCGATCAAATATTAGGAAGATAGTGATATCAACTATAGGTTAGGAGTGGACCGGTTCCGGTTCGGGCCCGGTTCGGGCCTGGGCCCAGCCGGGCCTCGGTTCAGAAAGGGAGGCCCGAAACCGGCCTGGGTAATCCCGGGTCTGGGCCGGGCCGGGCCTCGGTCCTAATTAACCCCCAACCCTCCCCCCCTCACCCCCAAACCACCCCAAACCACCTCAAATGGCCCAAAATACCAAGCCCAACCCAAAAACCTAAAAAAAAGTCAAAAAAAAAATAATAATAATTTGGCCCGAACCGGCCGGGCCGGTTCGCCAATCAAAGGGCCCGGGCCCGAACCGCACAGTAACCGGGCCGACCCGGACCGGTCCAAACAGTAACCGGGCCAGGCCGCCCGGCCCGAGTCCATCCCTACTATAGGTACAATAATATTCATTTTGTACCTAACGATATTCATCATCGTCTTTATTTTAGTGAACCTTTTACCTTATTCCATCATATTCTCAAAGCAACAGAATGGTGAATCTTTAGCTCACTTGCAAATGACAGAATTCATAAATTGAATATATAAATATTCATATTTGTATTTGGTAAATGTGTGAAGCAAAAATACTATTCGTATTTGAAGTATTATTTGAGTTTTTTGAATTCAAACTTATACCAAATATTTTTTGTATTTGGTACATTTAGAACCCTACTTGTACATATAAGGTCCTAAACTTATACCAAATGACCAAAATAAAGAGCAACATTGTGTTGCGAACCAAGTGACCAAATTTTTACCAAGAAAACTGCCAGATGAGCTATGCTGAAAGCCTGAAATTTATAATAAATGGATCTGCCAAAACCCAAACATATAATTAGAAGTAAGAGAGACCTGACCAGGTTTGGAATTCAAAAACTGGAATATTGGCTAGTATACAGCCGAAGAGAACTGTTGCAAATCAACAGTTGAAACCTCAGAACAAAACTTCGATTCTACTTTAAAGTTTTTATTATTCATATTATTAAATAAGTGGGTCGCCACCCATAGTCTTCTATGTCATAGGCAGCATTACATCTCCAGCAGCAGACCATTGCGCATCATTTTAGTTTAGTAGGGCTCAACTGGTGTGCGGAAGCTGGCTCCAGCGTAAACAGCAGCTGAACCAAGCTCCTCCTCAATTCTCAACAGCTACACATTAATAAATGAAATCACAAACATAAACGGGTTACAATTTTTTATTGTGAATTGTAGACATACACCGCGGTAGATGATTAGTTAGTCCAATACCTGGTTATACTTGGCCAGACGCTCCGACCGGCAGGGAGCTCCAGTCTTAATTTGACCCTAAAAGTGAAGTGCAATTTGTATTCAGTATTTAAAAGATAAGTTACGAGAAAATCATACTTTTTTTATTATTAAAGAAATATATCATGAAATTACCGTTGACAAACCCACAGCAAGATCAGCGATAAACGTATCCTCTGTCTCTCCACTGCACAAAGCAAGCATATAATCATCTGAGTGCAACTTCATAGAATAATCTATTCTAAAAATGGATTAATTATAAGTAGTATTACATTATTCCCTTTCATATGAACTATTTGAAAGTATCGTATCCATACCTGCGGTGACTTGTCATGACACCCCAACCCGCTTTCTTAGACATTTTCACAGCTTCAATGCTCTCGGTCACAGAACCAATTTGGTTAACCTAATATTGGGAAAGAATGTATATGTTTTTATTCATAGTTATATCCTTTACGTAACCAACGGTAATCAGTAATCACTCCACTTGTAAGGGTCATAGAAACCTACCTTAAGAAGAAGAGCATTGCATGATTTACCCTCAATTGCCTTGGCGACCCTCTACACGCATAATAGAAACCAAAATCAGTTCAAAATAGCTAAAAGAGATCAAGGAGAAGGAAAACATCAAGATACAACGTGGAAAAGAAAATGACCTTAGGGTTGGTGACAAGGAGATCATCTCCTACAATCTGCACTTTCTCCCCTATCTCAGCAGTCATTTTAGCATAGTGTTCCCAGTCATCTTGGTCGAATGGATCTTCGATGGAAACAATAGGGTACTCAGCCACAAATGACTTGTAAAGATCCTTAAGCTGGTCACCTGAGATCTTCTTTGAGCCGTCATTTTTCTGCAAAAGTTGAAGAATTAGCTATCTACCGACACATCAGTAGTATGCATGGTTTTGGTTAAGGGGTGGAGGAAACACATGCTCAGGCATGCAGCTTAATTTTCTAGCATACATCCCAACCAAAATAACAAGGATTGTGAAGACAGAAATTTGTTCTCATTTAATTCATTTTGTTTTTAATACCATAGATGCAAATAATAAGCAATCGCTCCACCTTCTGTCTAATTCAATTAACCACTAAGTGATAATAAAAGGAATGACAAATACAATGAGCTGAAAAAACATAAGTATACCTCTTCTTTGAAGTCCCAACTAAAATAATGAGGATTGTGAAGACATAAATTTGTTCTCATTTAATTCATTTTGTTTTTAATACCATAGATGCAAATAATAAGTAATCGCTCCACCTTCGGTCTAATTCAATTAGCCACTAAGTGATAATAAAAGGAATGAAAAATACAATGAGCTGAAAAAACATAGTATACCTCTTCTTTGAAGTTCAAATCATATGATTTGTCTTGCCCATAGAACTCTGAGGCAGCAACATCCATTCCAATAACAACCTGCATGGAAAAGCAAATTATTAGCACCAATAAATAAGAAAATATAATTGAACCACCCTTACAAAGACTGAAAAATGAAAGCCAATCAACTCACTTTCCCAGTATATCCTGCCTTCTCTATAGCAGTCTTTAGCAATTCAAGGCCTTCCTTGTTCTCCTGAATATATTAGGGAGCGAAGACAATGTGAGCCCATAAACTAAAGGAGGTAAACAAAAAACATGGTGTTTAGTCTGAATGAATGAATAATTTAGACCTGGATGTTGGGAGCAAAACCTCCCTCATCCCCAACATTGGTGGCATCTTGCCCATACTTCTTCTTGATTACAGACTGCAGTTATTACATATTAAAATTTGTTAGATGGACACAAAAGTACAAATAAGTAAGAAGTAAGAAGCCCAAAACAGAATGTAGAAAAATGGCAACCATAAACCCAACCAGAATCATTCGAGATTCTGATAGGAACAGAACTGGCCACTTCAAAACCTGAACTAGCTCAGTTAAACAGGTTTTTAAAAACAGCTAATAATTTTCGACGCGATTTTCACCATGGGTCTTCCGGAAACAATCTCTTTGTGCTTTAGTACAGGGATAAGACTGCGTACATCCGACCCCTCATTACCCCAACGAAGGTGTGGGAGCCTTTGCAGCACTGGGGTAATGATGATGATGATGACCAAAATAAAATCATTTTCATGCTTGTAAAATTATCATTTTAAGAAAAACAATGATTCATCATTGGGAGTTAGGGAGAGGGAAATATCTATCGCATAGCATACATTGCAGGTCTATGAAGCATAAGCATTACAAAATGCAAGGTTTTTTAGACCGTGAAGTCTTCAACTGAAAACTTGATACGTTTACACAACACATAGTTTTCAAATCGTACTAAAACCGGTTGGCTACTGTCAGATAAACATAATCCAGTTTATAGACACAGTCTGACAGATAGGAATCCAGAATTTAATACTCTAAAACTGAAAACCAACCTACATGTTATCTCTTTTTTTAGTCCGGTTACCTCTTTTGTCCCATTTGAGCACACCCAAGATATCTTAATTGGTTTGCACAGGGTTATGGTGTATGGAAGTATAGTAGACCTTTTTACAGCTACCACAGAAAGGATAGCTCAATTGGTGTGAATAGGGTTACAGTAGTATTCTAGCAGCAAAATTGGCATGTAACCTCAGCAGCATTAAATATCACAAAAGAATTTGTAGCTCGTTATAATTCTGATCATGAATCAAATTACCTTCAAGTGGTGGTATACTTCACAACCCATCTTCATGGCCTCTTTGAAACTGGAAGCTCCAACAGGGAGAATCATAAACTCCTAAAAACAAAACCATCAGCAAGCAAACCTTCAATGAGCATTGTATGTCACACCGAGTGCATGTAGAATGTCAGAGACAGACCTGCATGGCAAGTTTGTTTCCAGCATGGGATCCACCATTGATGACATTAAAAGCTGGGACTGGCAAGACCAACTTCTTGTTACCAGCAAGGTTTGC